GATAAAGCTAAAGGAATCGGGGCTTTTGTGAAAATTCTAGCACTTCTCAAACTTTTCTCTCTTATGGTTATATCTTCTCTCAGTGGTCCGTTGTAAATAAGACATGTTAATATTCTCCATAAATGTGACTGCCATGCCTAGTCTTGGTTAACATTAACATTTTTAGATAAATTCCCATATAGGTTATTTAATGGGCTATGTATAAATATTCAGCAGTCAAATTTCAGCATCTATATTTCTGCAGAATACAGACATGAAAAAGTTAAACGTAAAAAACAAGCATTTAAACATGTATTTAGGAGTAACAAGGAGTTTTTAAGACTCCTTTTTCATTTGCAAGCGTATAATCTTCATATGTAATATCTCTTCGTTCACATGTATTTCATGACTATTTATGTAGGTGTTATTTTTTTGAAAGTCTGGTCCAAAATGATTATCACATAGGTTTTACTACATAGCAGAGAGTAATGGAGATTTCCTCCACCTTTGTTTTGCAGTGAGGATCATGTTATTCTCTTGCATTCTGTGAACCACAACGGTGAAATAAGCATCCTGGGTGAAAACCTGGCTCCACTGAAGTCAATATAGCTTTGTATTCCCCTTATGCCTGAATGTAGGTGCTGTCCTTTTAACTAAAGATGACTGCATACCTCAGCACTTATTTATATTGCCACATATGGCAATAAAGTGTCTGTTTACACTATAGAGCTGCTGCTGCCATAGATAGGCTGACAAGGGTCTACTACTAGAACCCATAGTGGAGATGCAGGTACAGAAGGACTTTTTCTACTGGTAAATTTACGTCATCTCTCCAAACATTTGCGAAGCCAGCAGAAGCCCTCTTGTATCAGCACAGTTGCATCTTGACTGGGGGTTTTGCTATTTTAGTTACCTGATTTTTTTATACCTCTAGCTATGCTGACAAATCTGTATAATATAGACCAAACCTAAAACTAAGTACATTCAATGCATTCAGTAGGTAGTGACTTGTTTCCAATCATGATGAATAAATGGATATGGCCCCTAGGACTGGTATTTTGCTGTGGCCTAGATCAGGGCTGTCCAAAGTGGCTGGGGTCCAAACACCAGCAGGGACTGCATACCCATGAGCGCACCAGAATAAGTCACGGGCCCTCCGGGCCACATGCGTTGCAGATGTTCCTGCTGCAGCACCACACAGGTACCCCACTGTTGCACACTGCACCTGTGCCCAGCCCCCCACACCTGTGCACACTGCACCTGTGTACTGCACCCCCACACCTCTCCTGCTGCACTGTGTGCCTGCCCCTCCTATTACACTGTATGCCATATGACCCCAGGCTCGCCTTCATCTCCCCCGTCTGCACTGCACTGGGGTGGGAGCAGGCAGTGCAAGACAAAAGAGGGAGGGGGAGCCCAAAGATGCTGACTGCCATTGCAGCTGGAGTGATGGGAGAGCAGAGGCCAGGCAGGGGCCCAGGGACCACACCTTATCCCTGTGTGGGTTGCATGCAGCCCACATGCAACCAGTTAGGCAGCCCTGGCCTAGATAAAAGGGCTTGAGCAGCATATCAGTTATAGAGGTTCTCCTACATTGCATTTAAGTTTTACTTTTTTCTTACCTCTTCCACCTCCGGTGTAAATTCTTTTCTTTTGTGAGGGTGTCCTGCACCAGGTCGGAATGCTCCCATTGGGATGTTGATATTAGCCTGTGAGAGGGAAATTGTGATTTGCCGCAAAGAAATTACAAGAAGGATACAATGGCAATTAAAAAAAAAAAAAAAAAAGGAATTGCCCTGAGGAATTTTGTGAAGTCTTAAATCTGCAGCAACTGCAGTATTTTCACACAGTTGGCCATGGAGCAGTGGCGTTCTACTTTTTCCACATAAGTGGCTTTTCAAGGTAAAAATTCTTTTTTTGGCCCTTTTCCTTTTTCATCTCCAAGTTTTCCATCTCATACCTAGCCAATGTAACTGTGGTGATGGCTTATATAAAACTGTAATATTAAGATGGCACTAAAGAGACAAAATGAAAACTATGTATTTAAATGTAATAAGTACAGCAGGCTGAACAATCCCACACTTACTACCAATTCTAAAGTTGTGCAGCTTATTTCCAAGCTTAAACACACTGAATGCATATATTTATCAGGATTTAATTTCCAAGAATTGTCTGTAGACTTAGTGCTTTGATCTATTTGATTAACTTTGCAAGTCTAGCTTATTTTTTTTGTCTATATAGGTACTAGCCTTCCAATTTTGATGTTACCCATGAATTTGATTGTCATTGAATTTATACCAATGGAATGTCATACAAAGAAATGTAGAAACAAAGTATAACACTGAAAGATGTTTTACCAGTTTACTTAGATTTTAGATTTAGTTTAATTGTTCAGTAAGTCTCTGTAAACCCAAGAATCTTATACTGAGCCACAGTTTCATAGTTTCATAGATTTAGGGTCGGAATGGACCTAGT